GGTGGGTACCGTGGGGAGCAAAGTTGGGGTGCGGGGGTTGGGGGAGCAGAGTTGGGGTCTGGGGTACTGCGGGGGAGCGGAGTTGGGGTGCGGGGGCTGGGCACCGCAGAGGAGAAGAGTTGGGGTGCAGGGGGCTGGGGCTGGGGAGCAGAGTTGGGGTGCGGGAGGCTGGGGGAGCAGAGTTGGGGTGCGGGGGGCTGGGCACCGCAGAGGAGAAGAGTTGGGGTGCAGGGGGCTGGGGGATTGGGGAGCAGAGTTGGGGTGCGGGGGGCTGGGCACCGGGCACCGCAGGGGGATGAGTTGGGTTCTGGGGTGCAGAGGTGCCGGGCTGTGGGGCGAGCGAGGCCCCCCTCACTCCTGCCCTCCGCGCCAGGCCCCTTCGAAGGCCCCAATTACCACATTGCGCCGCGCTGGGTCTACAACGTGGTGTCGCTCTGGATGGTCTTCGTGGTCATCGCCTCCATCTTCACCAACGGGCTGGTGCTCGTGGCCACCTGGAAGTTCAAGAAGCTGCGGCACCCGCTGAACTGGATCCTGGTGAACCTGGCGATTGCCGACCTGGGCGAGACCGTCATCGCCAGCACCATCAGCGTCGTCAACCAGATCTTCGGCTACTTCATCCTGGGCCACCCACTCTGCGTCCTCGAGGGGTACACCGTGTCCACCTGCGGTGAGTGCGCCCGCCCACGGGGACTGCTCAGGAGACCACGGCCTGGCCCGCCGCAGGGAGCCACGGCTCTGCCCCACCCACAGGGAGCCGCCCACAGGGAGCCACGGCCCCGCCCACAGAGAGCCACGGCCCCGCCCCCCACAGGGAGCCTCGGCTCTGCCCCGCCCACGGGAGCCGCCCACAGGGAGCCACGGCCCCGCCCCCCACAGGGAGCCTCGGCTCCGCCCCCCACAGGGAGCCTCGGCTCTGCCCCGCCTACAGGGAGCCGCCCACAGGGAGCCACGGCCCCGCCCACAGAGAGCCACAGCTCCGCCCCCCACAGGGCCCCGCCCACAGGGAGCCACGGCCCCGCCCACAGAGAGCCTCAGCTCCGCCCCCCACAGGGAGCCGCCCACAGAGAGCCACGGCTCCGCACCACCGCAGGGAGCCACGGCCCCACCCTGCCGCAGGGAGCCACGGCCCCACCCGCCCCCAGCCCCACCCGTGGAGGCTGGAGGCAAGGGGAAATATTTCCACGTCCGGATCAACTTAAGCCCTGACTCCAACCAGACCCCACTGCCCTTGTCCTCCAGCCGCAGGCGCCCTCGCCGGCCATGGGGATCAAGACTGAGGGGAAAAACAGCGGAGGAGAGTTGGCAGTTTTTCAAAAGGGACACTATTAAGGGCCCAAAAGCAAGCTATTCCGCTGGGTAGGAAAGATAGAAAATGTGACAAAAGACCAGCTTGGCTTAACCACGAGATCTCGCATGATCTAAAAAATAAAAATCTATGGCTCCAGAGACACGACTCCCCCCCCTTTGGCCCCTGGGCCCCAGCGGAGGGACATGGCCTGGGCCCCCCAGTAACCCCAGTGACCCCTGCAGGTATCACGGCACTGTGGTCGCTGGCGATCATCTCCTGGGAGCGCTGGTTCGTGGTGTGCAAACCCTTTGGCAACATCAAGTTTGACGGGAAGCTGGCCATAGGCGGCATCATCTTCTCCTGGGTCTGGTCCGCCGTCTGGACTGCGCCCCCCATCTTCGGCTGGAGCAGGTGGGCGCAGGCAGAATCGCAGCTGGGGGGGTAGGGGGAAAGAGAGAGAGATAGATAGAGGGGGTGGATGGGGATAGATAGATAGATAGATAGATAGATAGATAGATAGATAGATAGATAGATAGAGTAGAAGGGTGGAT